AATGTGTGTGAGAGTGGGGGGGGTGAGGAGGGGCTCAGGCTGGGGGGGTCCCATCCGACATGATCCTTTTCTCACTCCCCCAACCCTTCAACACTGTCTCTGGCTGCCAGGGGCGATTTCTCTCCCCCCAGGTCCCCTCCAAGCCACCAGGGGAATTTTCTCTCCCACCAGCCACCAGGGTCATTTTCTGTCCCCTCAGCACCCCGCATCCCCAGCCACGAGGGCCATTTTTGCTCCCCTTCCCTTCCATCGCCAGGAGGGAGGGAAAGGATTTGGGGCAGGAGAGCCACTTACCTGGTGTGCTGGTAGGCAAGATGAAGGAGCCCTGCTGGCCCCAGTGGATACAGCTGTCCCCAGTGGACACTCTGCAGATTACCTCTCCCCTAGGGGCTCACTGCCCCTCCCCGCTACTCCTCCCCCAGCCACTCAGCATCATGTCCTCTAAACAACAGCCCCTTTCGTTGCATGTTATGGAAAACAAACCCTTTCCCTGGACTTCTGGTTGTCCTGGCACAACCAAACCCTGACCTTGCTTTAAGTTGGGAGCAGAGGACACTGCCTACCAAATGTGGTGGTCCTAGCTCTGACCATTTAGGAGTAGTTCTTGAACATATAGACTTATAGACAGAAAAACAGACAGACAGATGCCATCTTAGAGTATGTCTAGACTACAGGCTTTTGTCGACAAAGGCTTTGTTGACAGATACTGTTGACAAATCCTCTGTCAACAAAGAGCGTCTAGACTACAGCCAGTTCTGTCGACAAAGGAAGCTGCTTTTTCGACATAGAGTCTAGACGCTCTCTTTTGAAAAAGCACAGTGTGGATGCAATAGCACCTTTTGTCGACAGAACTCTGTCAACAAAAGGTGTTATTCCTCGTAGAATGAGGTTTGCCGCCATCGACAAAACTACCGTGTTTTGTCAACTTACTGTCGACAGAACTCGTCGGTAGTGTAGACGCAGGTATAGTTTTGTCAACAAAAGTCTACTTTTGTCGACAAAACCCTGTAGTCTAGACATACCCTTAGAGAGAGACAGAGAGAGAGATTTGTTGTTTCCATATCTCTGCTGTCCCTGGTAATTAAAACCAGCTTTATAGCACTTCAGGAAGAAAATGATTTACAGTAATGTAAGTGAAGAGAAGCACAAGGCTGTCTATGTTTACGGCTTTTTCATGTGCTTTGTCCATTTTTTCAATTCATTAGGGATGCTGGTACGGTTTCATTGTGACTGAAAAAAATATCACAGGAGCTTAGAACCTGAATGAAAACTTAAAAGTTTGAGCTGACCCTGTACAAAAATGAATCAGAGGAAAGGCAGCTTTCTGGAGCACTTAGGGAATGTTAGTAATTTGCCTTTTGTCTCACATAGAAAGCTCCTGCTTGGATTGTAAAAAAACACCCTAATGGATGGTAACTGAAAAAAACAACTCACCATGATTTATTTCTATTGTGTGCATCATTAGGGATTTTTATTTGTTTTATTTTTCAACCTTATGTTGCTCTTATTTTTTTCCTTTTTCCTTTTTGTTGCTTATGCTATGCTATGTCTATTGCATTGTTCTACTGAGGGATGTTCTTGCCCATAGTTAGCAGTTGGACACCAACAGCCTGATTCTGCTGAATTACATTTGCACCCACTCTAAGACCACTTTACCTTGCCAGGTTGGTGTAAAGAGACCATAGAGTAAATGAGAATCAGGCCCCAATGACTAATAAGGATCGTAGCTGCTTCTTGGCTATCCAGATGGGGGGAAAAATAATTTGGCCACAGTATCTATCTGGGCTTGTGTCAAAGAAATTGAGACCTTTCTGCCTGATCTCACGATTATTGTAGATGACCTCTGTCACCACTTGATTCAATTATTGCCCTGATCTCAACCTGAGGCTACAACTGAAGCTCCCCTCCCACATGAGTATTTCAGCTAGCACAGACTGTGGCTGTCCACTCACTTAGCAATAGATTATGTCTGGAGTCTATTATGCACGTGCTCCAAAGACTGAATTAGCTTCTAATTCATTCGGTGTGTTCCTCTTTGGCAATGTGGCCCAGTGGATTTAGTCTCAGGAGATCTGTGTTCTGTTCCGTTACTGGCTCTGGTAGCGAGCCTGCCCCTTCCCATCTTCACAGAGCCCAGGTGTCTCAGCGTACGCGATAACCTCCAAGCCCTGTACTCGGAGGAGAAAGGAAATGGAATTTGCTTTCACCTAGATCTGACACAGCCTGACCTTGTTGTCATCCTGAGCATACTGCAAGGCAGAGGCAAGTGGGAACTGTGGGTGGCGGAGGACATCCACGGATCGGTGGAAACTTCTGTCTGCCACCAGAGCCAGCCCACAACATTTTGGCACCTGAGACAGGGAGCTCAAATGACACCCCCATGCCACCTTTTCTCCTGCCTGCCTGTTATGTCTCCTGTGCCCTCCTTCCTCCAGCACAGCACTCCATCATCTCTGTGTATCTAGAGCAGAGAGGATACATATGCACCAGCAGCAGACACAATTTTCTACTCTCTGGGTCCTAGTGGCTCCTC